TGAGAAGGGCTGTCCATTGAAATTTTAGGGGCTGCCGGCGGCCATGGTGGCCGACCGTGGGCAGACAACAGAGTCCCCAGAAGAAGAAGCGTTGCGTGGCAGCACGTGACTGAGAACTGGCTCTCGAAACCGGCGTGGTTGGCCGTTGCTCGAAGGGACAGTCCAGATCCGCGGGTTACCTGCTAAAACTGCGGCGGTGACGGCGGCTGTCGGCGGCGGCGGATAGCGACGACGGCGGCGGAAAGTGGCGGCGACAGTAGTGGCACTCTGGATCTGAATTGGTGCTGATTGTGGCACATATTTAAGAGAAAAAGAAAGAGAGAAGGGCTGTCCATTGAAATTTTAGGGGCTGCCGACGACCATGGCGGCCGACCGCCGGCAGACAGCAGAGTCCCCAGAAGAAGATCAGAGAACCTACTCTGATACCATGTTGAATATAGTAAAAAACTATATTTGGATTAATCTCCCTTATGTTAAATACACACATAGGGTTCTCTATTTATAATAGAATAAATATGGGCTAAGTCCAAAATACAAATGAGAAATAATAACAAACTAACTAAAAGATAAAAGATGTAATATATCTAACACCAAGTGTTTGCCACCCTTGATGCTCCTTGGGTTGAAAGGGGTTGGCACAAGGACGAATTTGCGATCCACTTGCGATGAATGCTTGGAAGGTGTCATGAAAAGCTAGTGTGAGACCACATGACTTCTGTTTTGGTATGGTTGCTATGAAGGGTCAGAACAGAGAGAGGGAGGTCTGACGAGATGATCGACAGAGGCGCGGTGTGATTTCGACACCGGGGAGGTGGCGTGTGATTAACAGACGCCCAAGGTTGTCTGGAGAAAGGTGGCGCACGGAGACGTGTCGACAGTAGGTTCACCCTGATTCCGGCAAGGTTGGTCGTCGCTCGAGGAGGCGATCCAGATCCGCTAGTATCCGGACTAAACTATGCGACAATGACGACAGCAGATAGTGGTCAACGACGATGGACTATGAAAAATAGCTAAAAAGGCACTAGAAATATTTGATATTGGGAGAGCGGGACTACTCACTGAGGCACTCAGAAAAGATAAAACTTTTAAGGCCACCGGTGGATAGCAAAGATAGTTGGAAGAAACTCAGACAACCTGCTCTGATACCATATTGAGATTAAAAACAGAGGGAAGTGGATTTGTATTAGATAAGAGAAGAACTTATTTCACCCTTCTTCATCCTTGATTTATAGGATTGTAACAATGGAAGACAACTAAGATTAAAAAAGAAAACACTCACTGATAGGATATAATATGATAGGTTATAATGGGTAATGTGTGCAAAATAAAACAAAACAGTTTATGAATTAGTTGGGAGTTTTGGTTAGTTGGTTGGGGAGCCTGTATAAGAAGGCATGGAGCTCTTGTGTGAAGGGACTTTTGGATAATCTTGTAGATTGAGCTTTGGCTCTTTGTGAAGGGGAAACCCTTGGAGGAGAGACTGCTCTCCTATTCTTTGTGTTCTATACACTCTATAGAATAAAGAATATTACTCTTTTGTCTCTTTTCAATTCTGGGTTCCTATCACTCACACACAACTCATACCCAACTAATACACAATTCACACACAAGCTAATTATTTTAACAGTAACAAAAACACATAATAAAAGAAAAAAAAAAGTAATTTTTTTTTACCCAAACACCTGCTGTTTATATAAAAAAAAATACTTTTTGATAGGAAATTTAAAAAAAAAACACTCTATAACTTAATCACACTAAACACTACAAAGGAACAACATTGAGATAGTGAGATATTTAAGGCATTTGTTGCTATCCTTGTTTCTAGCATTAGGATTTTAGTATAGAAGTTTCAAATGTCATTTTTTCCCCTAAGACAGACTAAATCCACCTTAATAATATATGATTAATCGAGAACTGGAGGAATGTCAGAAATGTTGGGAAGGGAGATATGTTCTCTATTCATGTTTTCTAAGATTTGGTATTTTGATGAGTATCTGTATTTGCTGCCCATTATTATTTTATTTCAGTTTCTGCATTGCTTGTAACACAACAAATTGGCCAACCTATTATAGCAAAAATAAAGAACTCTGGTTCTTAATTCTCTAACTTGATTTCAGCACAAACATCCTAGACCCAAAGGCAATTATGAAATGTGCCAAATTAATATATATTAGAAGTGATAGCAGCACCTGCACGGATGTGCCTCATTTACTAATGGCCTTCTTTATTTTATAATTTTGGTTTTTCTTATTGTATTTCCGCTAAACTATGCGACAGTGACGACAGCAGACAGTGGTCAGCGATGATGGACGATTAAAAAGAGCTATAAAGGCACTGGAAATATTTGATATTGGGAGAGCGGGACTACTCACTGAGGCACTTAGAAAAGATTAAACTTTTAAGGCCACCGGCGGATAGCAGAGATAGTTGGAAGAAACTCAGACATCCTGCTCTAATACCATATTGAGATTAAAAACGGTGAGAAGTGGATCTGTATTAGATAATTGAAGAGCTTATTTCACCACCCTTCTTCGTGCTTTATTTATAGGATTATAACAATTTAAGACAACTAAGATTAAAATGGAAAACACTCACACACAACTCATACCCAACTCACACACAAGTTAATTATTCTAACACTCCTCCTCAAACTAGAGCATACAGATTGTATGAACTAAGTTTGGAATAGATAAACTTAATCTGAGATCTCTTTAGGCATTTAGTCAATACATATGTAAGCTGGTCATTTGATCCAACAAAATCAACTTGTTTTGAATGAGACAATAGACATGGATACTTCGACTTAGAACAAGATGCACGAATGTTTCAGACCGTCGAGAGAGAATGTATGTAAACCAAATTGGACTCAAACCAACATAACCAAAGAGACTCCTCTTGAAATATATGATTTGTCTTCAAGAGTGAGTTGCAAACAAATGACAATGGTCCGCGAATAGCAAGAGTGCAAACACAGATTGACGAACAACTAACAACAGCTTATGGAGAAACCAACTTGGAAGCCTAAAATACTTCTTAGGCATTGAAGTAGCTCAGTCAAAAGATGGTGTTATAATCTCCCAAAGGAAGTACGCCCTTGATATTTTACAAAAAACAGACATGATTGATTGTAGACTAGTAGACAGTCGGGTGGACCCAAATAAGAAATCAACGACAAAAGAAGGTGAGTTATTCTCCGATTCGGAGAGATATAGGAAACTGGTTGGAAAACTGATTTATCTCACTATTCCAAGGTTGGATCTATCTTTTGCAGTTGGAGTGGTTAGTCAGTTCATGCAGGTTCCATGTGTCGACGATTGGAATGCTATCATTTGCATTCTAAGATATGTCAAAAAGGCTCTCAGGCAAGGGTCGCTATATGAAGATAAAGAAAACATTCAAGTCTCTGGATACTGTGATGCAGATTGGGCAGGTTTGCCTATTGATAGACGATCTACTATCGGATATTGTGTTTTCCTTGGAAGAAACATTATTTCATGGAAAAGCAAGAAACAGAATGTAGTAGCTCGATCAACAGCTAAAGCCGAGTATAGGACAACGACGTCACTGACATGTGAATTTATATGGATGAAGCAATTCCTTCAAGAGCTTAACTTATGTGACATCCATACTATGAAGACGTATTGGATAATCAAGCTGCTCTCCACATTGCATCAAATCCAAAAAGGACTAAACATATAGAAATTGATTGTCATTATGTTAGTGAAAAGTTGTTAACTAAAAAATATGTATGGAGTATGTTGGGTCAAATGAGTTTATTTGTTCCAAGCTTGGTACATACAATCTGTATACTCCAGCTTGAGGGAGAGTGTTAGAATAATTGCCCTATGTATCATCATTCAGCCTACTTAAGGGTAGTTTGATAGTCTACTATCTAGGGTAGTACCTAGGTCTGCACCTAGGTGTCTAAGGCAGACTCTTAATCTTCCATGTACATTTGTATTAGAACTTTATTATAAACAGATGAAAGTAAGAAGGATCAATTAAACCCTCTAGAAATATTTAAAAGTTTCAATCTGTAATAGCATATTATAGGTATGTATAGGTTCAAGCTGAAAACCACTACCAAGAAAAAAAAAACTATGACAATAAAAACGTGTAAAAAGTGACAACAATATGGTCTTGTTTACATGAACTTTACAATAAGTACTAACAGACTAAGAAAATATAAAGAAATGAAAGAAACTTCTTTTTACGATAACTTGTACCCAAGTTAAAATAAGCTTTTAGAGAAGTTATCAAAACGAGTTTCTGCGTAAGTCCTTTCTGCAAGAGAAAAATAAGAAAAGTTTAAATTAGCTTACGCAAGAGCTAATTTGAAGAAACTCTCCTTATAAAGCTTTTCCAGTTTTTCTAATTTTACTTGCGTATAAGCTAATTTTTCACTTACGGAGAAGTCAAGTTCATTTTTCTCTTCTTGTTTTCTCTGGTAGAAGAGCTTATAGAGAAGTTCATTCAAACAGGTCAATACACAGCGACTCCTATCCAGACGGGCGCAAGCTAATTCAAACAGAGCTAAGTTATGCATACCCACAATACCACTCCTATCAATCCACATAAATCTCAAGAGAACCACTGGCAGTGGAGTTTTTTATCAATTAACAAGAAATAATAATACCCAATTACTAACTACGGGCATTAATAATATACCTGCCACGTTCACACGTTCAAAATACAATCAAGTAACCAAGATTATCATCACATACAAACTACAATTCTTTTGGTTTATCTTTTAGATCAACAATTTAGGGCTTTTTTACTGTAAAGAATATTAAACCAAAATAAAGGAATAAATAGCCACTTTGAGCTGAAAACGTTTCATAGAAGAGGTTACTTTCTACAACCCTACTACAATTATTATTATTTTGAAATGCGAAGATGAGAGCAAACCTTATTCTCATTTCATGTTGCAACCCACAGTAACTCCAAAAAAGAATGATAAATTGAGATCCTAACATAGACTCAGAAATAAAACCGGTACCTTACACACTGAGAATAAGAGGTTGAGAAGTGCACCGTCAACGTCAAATCCTAGCAACGTTCAACCTATAGATAGATAGATATATAGAGAGAGAGGGTGTGAGAGAGAGGAATGATTTTGGAAGCAAGAGAGAAGAAAGGAGAATTAAGGAAATTGGGAATTTAGGGTACGCTTTGAAGGAAGGAGACTAATGCTAACACTTCTCCAACAAAGGTTAAATTTGTTTAGAGGTTATTTATTTTTACATAAACAATTATATGCAAGATTGTTTAATTAGTATATATATATATATATATATATATATATATATAATTGGGAATCGAAATTGTAATTTTATATTGAAATAAAATTTTTAGTACGAAATCATATGTCCTACATAAAATACGTCGAAGATGCTATAAATTGAATATTTAAAAAGAAAAAAAAATTTATTAACCTAATATCTTTAACAAATTATTCGTGATATTAACAATGATTACATGTGATATTAACAATGAGATTATGTTACTACAAAATTGTGTATAAACAAATAGATAAATATGTTTTTAAATAAACGTTATCTACGGATATTTAGATTAATAGGTAGTGCTTTTTTAAATAAATGTTATTTATAGATATGATAATAGATATCGTTTTAAAAAAAATGTTATCTATAAATATTTAATATTTTTTAAAATTTATAATTTGAAATAGATCAATAGATATTGTTTTTCTTAAAAGCATTATTTATTGAAATATAATAGATAATGTTTTTTTAAAAAAATCATTATCCATTGGGACACAATAGAGATAGTTTCATAAGATAAGTGTTATCTATGAGTTTAAAAAAGTTTTGAAAATAGTTCTCGCTTTCGGGCTCTCCTTCGCTATTCGACTTTGTCTTTGTTCCTTTGTTCAAATTCGTTTAATCTTTCATTTTCATCACTTGTGTGTGTGACATTACCTTAAATTGGAGGGTTTCATTCGTCTATTGGGTTCACGTATCACATTCCCTCCTTCTCTTCTTTGTTTCTCCTTTGTCCTTTTTCATGAAAACACATTTTTCATCAGGTGTATTCGTGTAGGATCTCTGTTCGTTCACTAGGTTTAGGATCTCATTCTCACTTGCATCTTTGTTGGGGCAAACCTTGAGGGACAATGACACTCCTCTAATGAGTCTTCTCCCTTCGCATTCCACCAACAATTTAGCCTCATGTATGATTGAATTAAAATTCTAGAATTGAACACGTTATGTTTTGTATAATGTCATGTTGTCTTACTTTACTTCAATTGCAAGAAGAGTCCAATATGTTTTCTGAAGCAATTTCCTTTTTAGTATTGGCCCTTCCATCTAAGCATGAGGCATAATAGTCAATATGTGTACAAAATTTAGAGTTGTTTCATTTTCTTATTTTACCTTGTAGGCCATCCCTCAGGGTGCCAAATTCTTTAGTACTTGTCTTGCCAAAGTGGCAGCTTTACGATGGTAGTTGTTCCTCATAATGAGATTAGGGAATTTATTTCTGAACCATCCAAGCAATTTATTTCTCTGCAACCGATTTTATTTGTCCTATTTCATCAATTGATGGGGCATTATAAGTTTCAGTGTGTGAAGTTTGGCAAGCCTTACAATTTATGTAAAACTGATTCTGAAGATTATGATATGTAGGCTATGTTATGTTGTATATGGCTATTTTCTAACGGTGATTTTAAAGAAGTTATGAACTAACAAATATCTTTGAATCGAAAGGGAATCATAAGCATATGTGGGTGATTGTTAATAATGCTTTATATATTGTACGTCCGTACTGACCGACCGGACAAGGACCGCTAGAGAAGACGATCAACACACTGGTCAACTTAGGTTGACCGAACGGACATCCTTTACCAGCAAACATCCCTAGAACACCATCCTAAAATAACATTAATGGTAAGTACTACTTAGTAGGGAATGGGCTAGGATTGGGCGATGAACCCATATGAAAAAATATAAATACAAGTCAAAAGTAAGAAGGTAGGTGATTGCATTTAATGCGAATTTAAGTCTTTAATGTGACCCCTGAACAGTTTGATTACTTAGTTAAACATCGGACTGCCTTTGACAAGTACCCCGGACGGTGTGGAGTGCGAACGAGGAAGAATTTGGACGAAAGACATAATTTTACCTAAGCGAAATTGGAGTGAAAGTGTGAAGGTGTGATTTGTGATGATGATTAACCCTACACTCGAAACACCATATCTTGTCTACATGTTATAATATAATTAGTGGATTAAATAGGATGTAGACGTTTTTCCTGGATTATACCATACATGTTGGGAAGGGTAGAAAGGGTTATCATGGGATGAACTTTGGGCTTATATGTTAATACAATTGTTCTTTCCTTATTTCGTTATTGGAAAATGCAGACTCTCGATGATGTGGTAAGATATTACAGAAATACATGTAGGATGTTGGCCCTACTCATGATCAACTCTTGTTGAGGTATGCCTCTCTGAGCAAACTCTTGATAGCCTCCAATGAATATGATTTTTGAGTGGAATGTTTATAATATTCACCCCTTTTCAATTTAAATTTTTGAAGAATTGTACTAATTACTGACTCGCCTAATCACATACATGCACACACATTTTGAGTAAAGGGAGTAATAATTTCTTATTGAGTAAAAAGCTTGAAAGTGTTACCCAAATTTTGAAAGGCAAGAAATAGTGATAGGTCATTGTGTTAATATTTAGCAGTCAGAATGACTTTCAGTTTGTTTGCACTACATGAGCCCTTATTTAATGGTTGTTTTCTCCATGTCAGATATGAGTATCAAAAAGATCATTCACTGCTTGGTGAAGATAAATTCACTTATGATCATGACTGCTAACAAATCAAATTCGCTCGTGTCTTGAGTTTTGGTTTGGAGAACAAGAAGCATGTTACATTTATATATCTAGGACTCAAATTTAAATTGAAACACCACTGGACTAGAACACAACGACACAACAACATACACACATTGCAATGACATCTTTCCCTTTAGTCTACAAACTAGTTAAGTTGGGAGATATAATATCAGTATTTGAGAGTATGGCCAGCTTGAAGGTTGCGTGCATAGTTGTCGTGGGTGTAGCCCCTAAAAGCCCCAACAGCAAAAGCCCCAGCAGCTGAGGCTCCTAAACAGCCATTGATTCCCTTATTGCCACAATCACCATTGTTCACTTGAATGGATTTGGGGGAGAGTAATTGAGGGGATTTGAGAGGATTTGAAGATAAATTTTTTTGTTGTTTATTTGAGTGAATTTGGAGGTAAATGTAAGTGGATTTTGAAGTAAATTTTTTTAATCTGTCACGTCAATAAAATCTTACACTAATTTTAAGAAACTTTACTTCCAAATCCACTCTCATTTACTTCCAAATTCACTCAAATAAACAACAACAAAATTTATCTTCAAATCCTCTCAAATCCCTTCAATTACTCTCCCCCAAATCCATTCAAGTGAACAAGGCCCAAGTGATGCCACTCCTAACACTCCAACTATTTACAAGGTGGGGAAGGTGCTTCTTCCTATGGACTTCTTTGTAGTTGCCAAGGCACCGACAAAGAGACCCTCTTTGGCACTAGAACCATCTCAAAAGTGGGTGTCCCTTGTTCTTGGAGGACTTATAGGATCAAGACCACCAACCTGCTTTTCCAGGTGTAAGAACTGTATAACTTACATACCAATTCTTTATGTACGCTACCCCTTTCTCTGTTGCAAACCCCACATAGCTTTATTTGTGGGCTTGCAAAAACTGAAGTATATATCAATTCAAGACTCTGACATTCAATTGTTCAATCAACTGCATAAGCATTTGGACTTAAATAGCTTTGGATCCTAGTGGACCTATACTACTCACTGATATCATACTTAAAAAGCAACTAATAGCATACTTAAAAAGTATGGCTAGCTTGAAGGTTGCATGCATGGTTGTGATGTGCATGACTGTGGTGGGTGCAACCCCAACAACTGAGGCTCCTAAACAACCACTGGTTCCCTCATTGCCACAGTCACTAAGTGATGTCACTCCTGCACTCCAGCAATTTACAAGGTGGGGAAGGTGCTTCTTCCTATGGACTTCTTTGTAGTGGTCAAGGCACCGGCAAAGGGACCCTCTTTGACACCAGAACCTTCAGCAAAGGCTCCTAAAGCAGATAAGGAGAAGCCATTATCTCAAAAGTAGGTGTCCCTTGTTCTTGGAGGACTTATAGATCAAGACCACCAACCTACTTTTCCAGGCATGAGAATTGCATAGCCTGCATACCAATTATTGTACGTACACCACCTCCTACTCTATTGTAAACCCACACAGCCTCCCAGCTACTCGACAAAGCCTCTCTCGACGACCCACTACTCTAGAATTGCACGTGTGGCTGCAAGTTGTACCACCTATAGTTCAAATTGAAGTTTCTTAATTTTATAAATGGTGTTATAATCAATTATTATTTGAAGGAATGACTCGTGTCTTGAGTTTTGACTTGTAGAGCAAGAAGCAACTTACACTCCTTAAGATGAACACTGGAAATGTGGTTACTATCAAGTTGTACTGAGAAATTGGTCAATTTTGACTATAAAATCATTAACCTTTATTAGAATTGTATTTGACCTCATCACATGATAGCAAATAGTAAAATTGAAGAGTTTCAATTGTTAATTTGTTACTAGTGAACTATTTTATATTTGTTATGGTACTATATTATCTTTATTTACTATCCTTATTTTGAGGTGTTACTTCTTTGTGTGTGAAAGGAAGTAATAAACCTTAAAATAAGAAAAGATAATAAATAGCAAATAAATATAATCAAGTACCATAACAGATATAAATTAATTAGAAACTAATTTAACTAATAAGAAATTAACAATTGAAATTAGAAAAGATAAAAGATCAATCTTATTTATTGAGTCACCGTGCATAACTGTGAAGAGGGTTACACACACATTCCAGTTTCAATTATTAATTTCTTATGAGTCAAATTAGTTTCTAATTAATTTATAATTGTTATGGTACTTATATTTGTTTGTTATTTATTATCTTTTCTTATTTTAAGGTTTGTTACTTCCTTTCATATATATATATATATATATATATATAACCCTTTGCACCATTATGCAGGGTGACAGTGATTCAATAAATAAGATCAGTCTTTTATCTTTTTCAGTTTCAATTGTTAATTTGTTATTAGTCAAAT